CGCTGGAGTGGCAACGGCTGCGGCGGCGCATTCGCCCGAGGAGCCCGTGGCGAAAGCGGCCCCTCGGACAGAGCAGAACGCAGGGACCGCATCCCGGGGCGTCGCGGCCGCCGTGGACGAGCCCGCTCCTGACTTCCCACCGGCGGCACGAACCCCTCCCTGCGGGGCCGTAACAGCATCGCTGGAAGGGCGCATGCCTACCAGTGGTGACGGAGAAGAGCTCAGACCACGAGGGTCGGCCAGCAGGCGCTCGCGAGCGCGAGCAGGGATCGACGCGGCGAGGCCCTGGATCCGATCGCACGAGAGGCGTCGGGGCCGCGCTGGAATGGCTGCGGCTGCGGCGACGCCTTCACCCGAGGAGCCCGCGGCGGAGCCGACGAGGCCTGGAGTTGACTCCGCTGCTTGAGTGCCCGCTGCGTTACAAGTGCAAGCGCCCCGGGCGCTTGACTGGGGAGGTGGCCCTCCGGCAGCTGGCGCGCCGACACCGCCCTCGAGGTTAGTGAAAGGCAGGAGCCCTGCGCGCTCACCATACCACATGCGCCCACGGGCAGCGCCCGCCCGAAGTGAGGCGGGACCAACCGCGCTACGGTGGAGCGGCGGCGGCGCATGAACATCCGCTTCTGGGACGGCAACTCCGGACGGTGGCCTCAGATGCCTGGCCTGGGAGGGCGAATCCCCGGAGACACGATGCCAGTCCGCGCTCAGGGGTGTTCCGCTGGCCGCGCGGTCACCGTCGGCGACCGTGAAGCGCTCGGACAGAAGTGGCGACGCCGCAGTGCACGGCATACTCCCGCTGCTAAACAGCTGCACCCCATCCGAGGCAAGGGCCGCGCGGAGGTCGACCAAAGGCGGCACCCGTGAGCCTGCTTCGGAGCCGGAGAGGCCTGGCGGCGGATCCACACCCTGAGTGTCGGAGCCCGTGTGCAGGTCCCACAAGTGGAGGTCGGCGCGTAAGGCCGAGGTGGCCCTGGGGCCGCTCCGCGGCGGGGTGCCAGGCTGGTGGACTGCGGTGGCGGCTGGGGGGGCGGTACGAGCCCCTCCCTGCGGGGCCGTATCAGCATCGCTGGCAGGGCGCATACCAACCCCTTTCGAGCCACACCGCGGCGCCGCCCTCGAAAAGGAGGGACTACCCCCGTCAAGGCCGCAGTCGGACATGGCCGCCGAAGAACCCCGAGGAGGGACGACGGAGCACCCCGCCTCCACCAGGGCCAACGCACCGCTCCAGGGGCGACCCTGTGGCGGCGGAGGCGGCGTCCTCAGTAGAGGAAGCGCGGCCTCTGACGCCGTGGCCCCAGGTCGGACCTGATAGACGACCGTGGGGCTCCAAGCCGCAGCCGCGCCACGGCGCGGGCATGCCGCACTGAGCCTCTGGGAACCAACCTCCAAGACGTCAAGGCCCGGAGGCGGCCCAATCTGCCTGACCGGAGGCCCAGGAGGCAGCGGGTCCAAGCCTGGAGGTGCGCGAATGCATCCGCCCCCGGCGGTCCGAGCAGCATCGTCGGCAGAAGTGGCCGCGGCGATGCCTCCAGCCGAAGGCCAGGAAACCGAGGCGGCGGCAAAGCCCGTGTGCCCCGCGAGTGACGCTCCCCCGCCCACGGTGGAGCAGGCGGGGCCCACAAAGTGGTCGCCATGCCTAGCGGCACAGGTGAGCCAGGTGGCGGAGTAGAGGCAAGGAGAAGGAGTTGGGGGGAGGTAAGAGAGATCCTCGTCCACCACTTCCCTTCCCAAGAGCGCAGTTATCTTCGCAGGGCACCCCTCTGGTGCTTCGGCGTTGAACACGCTGGCATTGGGTTCGCTGGCAGCAGGAATGGCGGGCATGGCTTGCGCGGCGGCTGAAGCCCTTGGGCGGCGCGTCGGAGCGCCTTTGGCCACTGTGCCCTCCGTCGGGCGTCTCTGTCGCGGCGGCTGAAAGTCTTGCGTAGAAGCGGCGGCTGAGACCCCAGGCGCGGCGGCACTTTGAACGCCCGAGACGAGGGCTGGCGCTGCGCCACGGCGCAAGGCGTGGCGCTGCGGCGTGTGAGGCCCCCCTCCTACTCCTCTCCTCAGATGGGCCTCCTGCTCCGCCGCCCCAAAGGCCAAGGGGGAGAAGGCGAAGGAGGAGGGAGAGGAGTTTTGCGCCGAAGTCGGCGTGGAGAGCGCCGAAGACCACCAGACTGGTGCAGGCTGGAGAGACCTGCCAACGGCAGGACGTGGCATGGGCCCTGTCCGCACCGCCCGCCGAAGAGCGAGCAGCGACGGTGCTAGCAAGGCCCAGTGGCCACGGCAGGCAGGGTGCCGAAAGGCGCGCCTGCCCGACCGACCACCGCTCAGAACGGACGGTCGGCCCCGACGCTCGCTCTCGTCGTACGGGCCACAGGCGCCGGCCCGACCGACTTGGGCCAGCGCGGGGTGGCGAACCCGGAGTCGACGATCGCCGCGTAGGTGTCGAGGAAACCTGAACGGCGATGGCCCCGCGGGCCCCTGGCGCCCCGGCCGCGCGCGCGCGGGGAGGGGAGTGGGGGGCGAGCGGGGCAGCTATCGGGCCGAGAAGCTGCAGACGACTGCAATCAGCGGGCGCGATGGGGATAAGAAGGAGCAGGA